GCATTTGTAATCTAATATATACAAATTAAGTACAGTATAAATTATACATGTAGGATACATTGTACTGCAGTATGCACAAAATTGTGTTTACCATGCCTAATGAGTGGTTTTAAACAATTTTTAATGATAATCTTGATTTTACATTATTATCTCCACTCTCACCAACTGCCTTTTGAGATACAAGTCTAGCGCATTCTGAAGTATTCTCCTTTGTACATATACTGTTGTGACAGTGGCATTCATGTCAAGGAATTTTGGAGGAAGAGTTCATGCACTTGCTATGATGTTACATCAGTGCTACTTGATTTTTTAAAAAAATTTTTAGTTGTAGTTGGACCCAATACCTTTATTTCATTCACTTATTTTTATGTGGTGCTGAGGAGCAAACTCAGGGCCCCAAGCATGCTAGGCAAGCTCTCTACCACTGAGCCACAGTCCCAGCCCCGCTATTTGATTATTTTTAATCTAGTCTTCCCATAGCCTTTCATTTTCCAGACTACATTGTCTAATTTTTACATAATTTATTCCTCATATCATTTAATTTATTCTTCATTATACCCTCTCGGTTCCATTGTGTCTTCCTTAGAGTACAACAATTGCGTGCATGTTTCCCAGGGGGTCAAGACTCATAACTAGGGCTGCTTCATTTTTGTAGATAGTGCACCAAAGTATTGGATTTTTATATTTTAGCTTTGTGGTAACTTAATTGATAACAAAGTGGACAGTTACATTCTATCATATCATTTTAGGTTTCTGTTTCTGTTTTCTTGTCCAGCTTCAAAATTTTATACCTTTCATTTTATCCCCTGCCTCTGATTTCAGAAAACTACATTTTTGTGTGAATTTAGAGGTTTCTCTCATTTTTAGTAATTTCTGTAAAAGCTAAACCACACTGTGTATTATATCCTGATACCAAAATTTTATACTTCTTTCAGATCAGTGTTTTTAATCTATATTTTATTTTCTTATATTCACTCTATTTCTTTGATTACAGCACAATACTTCTATATCTCCTGATGACCAAATTTAACACTTTTCTTCTGAAGTCTTGGCAGTGGCTTTGTATTTTGTTTCTTTTGTTTTAAGTCAAAGTAATGCCCTCTGCTTGTCAACCGATAATCAAAACCTTGATTTTCATTTTGCTGAAGCCATATTGCTTCCTCTTTTTTAAAAAATGTCTCAAGTACATAGTATTCTACCATTTTCAATGGAAATATGGTATATCAGCACTTGGTTTCCCAAAGTTTTCCACTAGCTAATAGGCATAGAATCACCCTGCTAGACTTCTAGCAAAGCAACTTTAAAAAATTCATAGTTGAATTTCGTTCAGAATTCACTCTACTTGCCTTAAACTATTGAAAATGTATGTTTCTTGATTAGATCCAAGTTATGCATAGTGTCCTTTGAGAGCAGAAAGGGAAAAGACGTTTGTTTTATGAATGAGGTCTAGAACTGTGCTGCCCAATATGGTAGCCACTAGCCATATCTGGCTATTGGGTATTGGTAATGTGGCTAGTTTGAATTGAGATGTACTGTAAATTTAAAATATTTACCAGATTTCAGACATAGTACAAAAAATAAAATATCTCAGTAATTTTGTCTTGACCTTGCAATCCTCCTGCCTCAGCTTCTCAAGTCACTAGGATTATAGGCATATACCGCTGCACCCAGATGTTTAGTTTTTTTTAATGTGGTAAAAATTTACCTATGATTCTCATTATATTTCATTGGATAACACCAGACTAGTAGTATTTGACAGTTACTATCTTTGAATTGTCTGCTCCAAAGGAAATCCAAAGGTAAAGTCTCTCTAAAAAAATTTTTACTTAGTACTCCTGAATAGTCCCTCTACGTGTCTAAATGTAAACATATCAAAGATGGGAAATGTACTAATAAGATTCACTGGGAGTAGTGAAGTAGGTTAAGGTTTAAGGTTGCTACTTAATTGAATTGCTTTTGTCCTGCCCCCTTGTTTTTTTTTTTTTTTTTTTTGTTTGTTTGTTTTTTTACTGGGAGGAAGGTGTTTTGTTTTTGCCATGCTGGGGATGGAACCCTGGCACTTATTCATGGATAAGCACTCTATCACTGAGTTGCACCGCAGCCCAGTCCCAGTTTTAAAGCTTCATTATCTTTGTACTGTTATGTAAATATGCTCCACATATAATTATTTGTAGTTAAAAAGCCATTGTATAAATAGAACAGTTATGGCATTCTGTGGCTTTGTAGTAACATAGTGACTTCTCATAGAATGTATGAATGAAGAACTTTATCAGTACATTCATCCTCTGATTTGTATATATCTTGAAAAATGACAACAAGAAGGGATGACATTTGTAATTCAGTTAATTGAACTGACAGGTTTCTACATTTAATATCATGTGACATTTGATTTGGAGTGACTCGGTGGTAGTAATTTACATTGAAAATCTATATCATCAGAGCAAAATATTTTTAAAAATTCCTGTTGATTCACGCTGATACTTTTTCTGACCTTAATGTCTTTTTTGTAATAGTTTTAATTTTTTTAGCTATAGATGGACATAATACCTTTATTTTATTTTTATGTGGTGCTGAGGATTGAACCTAGTGCTTCACATGTGCAAGGCAAATATTCTACCACTGAGCTACAACCCCAGCCCTATAGTAGTTTTATTGAGATTTAATTCACATTCCACAAAATTTACTCCTTAGAAGTATATAAGTAACTGGTTTTTAGAATATTCACAGATTTTTACAACCATCATCACAGTCCAACTTTAAAACTTTTCATTATCCTCAAGAGAAACCCCATGACTGCCAACCTTTACCCTAAACAACTACTGATCTTTCTGTCTCTATGGCTTTGCCTATGCCAGATATTTCATATAAATGGAGTCATGCAGTACATGATATTTTATACCTGGTTTCTTTTACTTTACATGTTTTCAAGGCTTCCCCATTGTTGTACTTCATTCATTTTACTGGACAAATAATATTACATAGTGTTATTGTTTCACATTTTTATCCATTCATCTGTTGATGGAATTTGGCTGATATATCTGTTATATAAATATATTTTTGGTGATATTAGGAATTGAACTTGGAACCTTATACATGGTAGGCATTGGGTTACACCCCTAGCTGATATTTATTGAACACTTTAACAAAGTTAGGGCTGGGGTTGTAGCTTCAGTGATAGAGTACTTGCCTAGCATGTAAGGCATGGGGTTTGATTCTCAGCACCACATATGAAGAAAAATAAAGGTCTATCAACAATTAAAAAAAGAAATTAACAAAGTTAATAATTTTACATTAAGAACCTTTACATGTATTCTCATACTGAGCCTTACAGTAATTTTGTTTAAGTACATATTGTGATAGTCACTGTCATTTTACATGTAAAGAAATGAAGTGCAGAGCTGGGTGCAAAGATACACACCTATAATCCTAGCAACTCAGAACACTGAGACAGAAGGATCATAATTCAAGGCCAACACAGGCAATTTTTTAAAAAAAATATTTTAGTTGTAGATGGACATAATAGATATTTCATTTACTTATTCATTTTTATGTGGTGCTGAGGACTGAACCCAGTGACTCACAAGTGTGAGGCAAACGCTCTACCGCTGAGCTACAACCCTAGCCCCAGCACAGGCAATTTAGCAAGACCTTGTCTCAAAAAAGAGGCTGGGAGTATAGCACAGAAAAAAGGAAGGAAAGAAGCTCAGAAAGCCTAAATAATTTGTCTAAGATTACACAGAAGTTAAGTTCTAGAAATGGGACTCAAACTCATTTTATCTGACTCTGAATTGTATTTTTCATCCTTGTGACACAGTCCCTACCTCCAAATCCATTGGTGATTGATTGGTCTTAAAGAATAATTACTTTGGAGCTAGTGTCTTTGTTAAACTTCTTTGGGGGGTATTAAATATTGAACCCAAGGGTGCTTTGCCACTGAACTACATCCCCAGTCCAAAAATAATTAAAAAATTATTTTTGCAGTGCTAGGGATTGGACTCAGGGCTTCATGCATACTAGGATTTTTTTTTTTTTTTAATTTTGAGATAGGGCCTTGCTAAGTTGCTGAGGGTTTCACTAAATTTCTTAGGCTGGCCTTGAACTTCTGCTCCCTGTCTCAGCCTCTCAAATCACTGGGATTTTACATCCACCACCATGACCAGCTTTTTGCTTGATTTTTATATGCTGTTGGATGTGGAAAATGGATTTGAAGAAACTTATTTTGACAGTACTGGGGAATGAACCCAGTGACACTCTACCACTAAGCTACATCCCAAGCCTATCTATCAATCTATCTATTTTGGTACTGAGGATTGAACCCAGGGGCACTTAACCTCTGAGTCACATCCCCAGCCCTTTTAAATATTTTATTTAGAGACTGGTTCTCATTGAATTGCTTAGTGCCTTGCTAAGTTGCTGAGGCTGACCTTGAACTCACGATCCTCTTATATTAGCCTCTTGAGTTGCTGGGATTATAGGTATGTGCCACTATGCCCAGCTATTTTATTTTCTTTTATTTTGAGACAGGATCTCTAAATTGCCAGGCTGGCCAGTCAGTCCTCCTGCCTCAGCCTCCAGAATAGCTGGGATTATAGGCATGCATCATTGTACCCAGGTTGAAGAAACTTAATGCGGCCTCTCCCAATAACTTTGTGAATAAAATGGAAATTTACTCTAGGTGATAGCATGCCTCAGTAGCTTAGCAACAAATAAAAATGGTAAAAGAATCAAACTGCTTAAAAGATTCGACAGGGGACAGGTCCAAGGGTATCTGGAGGGCTCATTTTTCCCTATCCCATGAAAAACTTTTATTAGTGAACTATATTTATATTAGAAGTACTATATTCATATTAGAAGACCTAATTTATTATATTTATGGGATTCCCAAGGTTGAATTGCTTGGAATTTATCCATTTGCTAGTGCCATATACAGAGAATAGGGTCAATAAAAATGCTTTGTAGTGCTAACGTATATTCTGTCTTGGATTTCTTTTTTCCCTCAGGGTTCTGTAGCTATAGCTGGAGCTGTTATTCGCTGGCTACGAGACAATCTTGGTATTATCAAGTCCTCAGAAGAAATTGGTGAGTATGTTCTAACAACAGGTTAGAAAATCTGAAAAATGAAAACTTCTAATATTTTATCTCTGCATAGATTGCATTGCCACACAGATGTTCTATAAGTGAGGTGGGCCCCTATTATAGATTTGACTTAAACTATATTGTGAAGGTTTCTTAAACAACAAATTGATGTAGTTAGCAGTAGTTATTAATAAACTGGAAATGGAAAGGGAGGGCATAAAAATTACCCAAATGTAAAATCAAACACCAGAGATCGCCCAAATTTGCAGGTAAAGCAGTCTATTTACATTTATCTGATAAGAAAGAACTTTAGCTGTGTGCTGTGACACATACAAAATAGGTGGGGGATGCGGGTTAGTGGGCGAGTGCTCCTGAGTTCAATCCCAGCACCCTCCCCACCCCAAAAAAAGAGCTTTAACCACTAGATTACAGTGAACATTAAAACTCTTTACTAATATGGTTATAGTCAATTGATGAGTAATTAGTTTGAACTTAGCTACTCACTCTCCACTTGTATAGACACTTGTATAGACAATCAGAAATATTTAGGCACAGAAGAGGCCACTTCTTCATCTTTTAATCAGCAACCTTAAAAAAAATAGAAAAGAGCTAAAATACCTTAAGGAAATGAATCCAGTTCCTTGATTTCTTGAGCTGGGTTATATTTTAGTGGGGGAGGGGTTTCAGTGTAAAAAAAACTTTTTGTTGCTCCTAACATACTTCTATAATTAGGAACATTTGGCTTTCCCAATGAATTGGAAACCAAAACCCTGAAATAATTTTGAAAATAGGTATATTTATTCAAAATGTAGGATATTTGTGTGATTTTTGATCTTTTTCTTTTTCTTTTAACTATTAGAAAAACTCGCTAAAGAAGTAGGTACTTCTTATGGCTGCTACTTTGTTCCGGCATTTTCAGGGTTATATGCACCTTATTGGGAACCTAGTGCAAGAGGGTAAGTATTGCTATAGTTAACAATAATTTACTATGTATGTCAAAATAACTAGAAGAGAGGATTTTGAATGTTCCCAACGGAGAGAAATGATAAACATTTGAGGTGATATATATGCTAAGCATCCTGATTTGATCATCACATATTGTGTGTATATATTGAAATACCACACTATACTCCACAAATATGTAAAACTATTATCAATTAGAAAATAAAGAAGGTAAGTATTGACAATATGTTCTACTTTTTGGTGTTTTGTTTCTTTTAACAAATTAGTTAACAGTTTCCTATTTTCTTTTAAATTAATTTTTTTAAGAGAGAGAGAGAATTTTTATTTATTTTTTTTAGTTTTCGGCGGACACAACATCTTTGTTTGTATGTGGTGCTGAGGATCGAACCCGGGCCGCACGCATGCCAGGCGAGCACGCTACGCTTGAGCCACATCCCCAGCCCTGGTTTCCTATTTTCATGATTTTAAAATGTTAAGAAAACCTTTCCTGTTTGGAGACTCTAACTTCAGAACCTTAAACTACAAAAAGTTATAAATCAGTTTACTATAGCTTCTGCTATATTCATATTCATGATAATACTGTTATCCTTTTTCTTCATGGCATCTACAAGTTGTATAGCAAATGGCCATCATCTAAATGAATATAGATTTGATTTTGCCTTACTGTCATCTATTTAGATGGCTCATGAACTTTTCCATATGTGAATGCAGGATTGTGTACTATAAAGACTTTCCAAGTTATTTTATGATTATATTGAATTTTCTTTTTCTGAATGTTTCTGTTCACCAAATTCACTCTTTGCATATTTGGGACATTTCAAATGGATGACTTATTCATAACACTTTAATCTGAAAATGTTTTGTGTATTTTTAGGATAATCTGTGGACTTACTCAATTCACCAATAAATGCCATATTGCTTTTGCTGCACTAGAAGCTGTTTGTTTTCAAACCCGAGAGGTAATAAATATTGGCCTGTTTTCTTGTAAATTATCCTCTATTATGAATTTTAAAATGATATATTAATGCCTGAAATTTGTTAAATGCCAAAAGTATACTTAATAAAAAAAACAGAACTAGTATAAACAAATATAAATGTTTCCCCCCGTTTCCCAGCTTTTATTACTAGGCATTTTATAATTTCAGGGAGTCTGAGTGCTACATAGTAAACAGAGGAGACAACACAGACATAGACTTATCAAGCCAGGAAACCAGGGTGCAGAACAGAATCATATGGCTTGCTGAATATCATAGTGCAGAGATAAAATGAGAGAAAAGATTGACTGTGACCAGATCAAGGAGGGCTTGGAAAATGAATATAAGATATCTCAATTTCATATTGTAGGTTTCGGAAAGTTCCTTAGGGTTTTTGAGTGGAGGATTGCTATTTTCATAGATGATACTATGAAGTAGTTTCATAATGTTAATTGCATTGGTTTATTTAAGATTTTGGATGCCATGAATCGCGACTGTGGAATTCCACTCAGCCATTTGCAGGTAGATGGAGGAATGACCAGCAACAAAATTCTTATGCAGCTGCAAGCGGACATCCTGTATATTCCAGTAGGTTAGTAAGTCTTCATTCCTTTAACTCCAGGAGTAATGGTTCCTTCAGAAGAACTTAGGCATATATAACTGCAAAACTGTTGATGTATCTTTCGCCCCTCAGTGAAGCCCTCCATGCCTGAAACAACTGCACTCGGTGCTGCAATGGCAGCAGGGGCTGCAGAAGGAGTTGGCGTTTGGAGTCTTGAACCTGAGGATTTGTCAGCTGTCACGATGGAGCGGTTTGAACCTCAGATCAATGCTGAGGGTAAATATAAAGAATGAAACTTTGAATGGTATTCTGTGAAAATGACTTCAGTTTCAGGGGGTTTGCCTTTCTGTTTACTTTTTAAGTTAAGGAACAAAGTAAAATAGCAAAAGTTACTATTTCAAATGTGGCTGCTAAGCCATATTGGGCTATGCTGAATAAGTGTGGAGGAAAGAATTGTTTCCTTTTAAAAAACTTCTAAAATCACTTTATTTTTTTTCAGTTGTAGATTTATACAGTGCCTTTATTTTACTTATTATCTTTATGTGGTGCTGAGGATCGGACCCAGGGCCTCACACATACTAGGCAAGCACTCTACCACTGAGCTATAACCCGAGTCCCTAAAGTCACTTTTTAAACCATTCATTTCTACACTGTTTAGGAGAATAGGAGAATAACAAAGTGATAAATGAGATATATTAGCCACCCACCTCTAATGTGTATACCAAGTCACCCTCAGTGTGATGGCCTGGCTCCTAGAATATGATTAGCTGATTTAAGAGACACTCTGGTAATGTTTTAGCACAACAGGACTACCCTAACAAGAGTGGCAGCAATTTAAATAAATGAGCATTAAATATCAGATTCACTGTCCTCAGCAATTAAACTAGGCCAAAAGCTCTGCTCAACATGTTTATTAAAATATAGTGATACTTTTCTTAAAGATGTGAATAGGAAAATATGATTTTATTTATTAATTTGATTTTATAACCTTTTATGCATAAAAGAGCATCAAAGTGGATTTTGAGCTTTTGGAAAATAAATTTTCAAATGCATTTTTCTTGAATTTTCTAGAATTTATACTAGAGTTTCATATACAATAAAATGAGTTATAATACTATAATTTTATAGTCAGACATTAGACCATGTACCAAGATGTAGAAATTTGTTTCAAAATCTGATATTCTGTCGGAATTTTTAAATTTTTTTAAAATAATTTTTTAACCTTTATTTATTGATTTTTATGTGGTGCTGAGGATCAAACCCAGGGACTCGCACATGCTAGGTGAGTGCTCTACCGCTGAGCCACAGCCCCAGCCCTGGAATTTTTTAATTTTTGTAATACTGGATAAAATATGAAGTTCAAAATTTTTTTTCTTCTGAAAAAACATACCAACTTAATAGGCAGATTATATTCAGAACATGTATGTGGCCTCTAAATGCTTATCCAACTTTTAAAGCAAGGAAGTTTTGAGCAAAGGGGATAAGATTATTGTTTCCTTAGGTGAGCCATCTTTGACATCATTTAAGGCCTTATCCTGGAGTTGATCAGTTCTGCCAGCTTTCCTCCCTTTCACGGATTGCTTCCCACTGTCCCCCACATACTAATAGGCACCTACTTCATCCTTTCAGCTAACAGTTATTTAGAGCCAACTGCATGTCAGAGATTGTTACTTTCATGAGGCTACAAAGATGTAAAAGACCAAATCCTTTCCCCTCAGGAGACTCACATAAACTGGGAGAGGTAGACCAAACCATAAAAATTCACTTGGTAACCAACATCTTAAGGGATGTGAGAAGGCAAGGGTGGGGATGGGGTTACAAGTGGGACATTGGAAAACTTTCTGAAGCAAGTGATCTTTGAGCCTTATCTCCAGGGAGTTTCAGGTTTCAGGAGCTGTGGAAAGGCTGGGGAGGCTTGACAGAAGGCTAGTCTTACTCATGATTTGGTAGACTTTAGAGTATAGCGTCAATGTTCATTTTTTTGTTTAGTCCTCCTGTTGTAGATTTTCACCTTAAGAGATCTTGCTTTCAGGTGTCAGGGGAGCCTCACAGGAATTCACTTTGAATCTTGTGAGAAATCAGTATTTGCTAAATCCTTTAACTGGACCAAAAGCAATTCTAGTTTTTCCACATCATACTAAACCCTTCTCCTCACATTAGTCCCCTCTTCCTGGAGAGGGGAGGAGGGGGAGGGGGAGAGAAAGAGAAATCAAATGGGAAATGGGATTCCGTTTTCAAATTGACCACCACTTATTTCTGAATAGCCCCATCTTCATAGCAGGTAGTCTGTCTCCCAATCTCCCTTCACCCTGCGGTCCCATGCGGAATTTCCCATCATGCTTCTTTCTCTACAACACTCTATAACATCTAAGCAAATGTCTCTTTTTGTCACCGCCCATTAACCTACAACCATGTGCTCCCAAATCTGAGTCCTCACTTTAGTGTAATGTATACAACAATGTCAAGAATACAAAGTGATGCCAGGCACAGTAGCACATACCTGTAATACCAGCAACTCAGGAGGCTGGGGCAGGAGGACCACAAGTTCAAAAGCATCCTCAGCAACTTAGCGAGACCTGTCTCAAAAAAGGGGTAGGAATGTAGTTCTGTGATAGAGCACCTTTGGGTTCAATCCTCAGTACAAAAAATAATCATTGTAAAATGCAGAGTGATAAGTATGACACAGAACACCTCTGCAAATTACCTTTCATATCTGTTTTCTTTTTTCTCCTTTCAAATTCTAGAAAGTGAAATTCGTTATTCTACGTGGAAGAAAGCTGTGATGAAGTCAATGGGTTGGGTTACAACTCAGTCTCCGGAAAGTGGTAAAATATTTTCATTGTTTATTATTTCTATCTTTTCTAAGTATATTAAACAATTTATCTACGTATCTGGCCATTCATACTTACTTAGCCAGGCTGTTTTGAAGAAAAGCATTATCATATGTCCAAAGTTTCTAATATTTTGAAAGCACTTTAAAGTTCTTAACATAAAATGGAAATTATCAGGTTAATGTAAATTCTTTAACTCTGTTCTGTCATATCTTTCCTTATAAGTTTATTCCTGGCACTTCAATTGATAATTAAATATTCCAAAAGTAAAATTATTTCTAGTTTATTCTTAATGAACAAAAAATCAACTAGAATCCTCTCTCTTTCTCCCTCCTCTTTCCTCTCTCTTGTCTTATCTTACCTTTTTGGGAGGCTATCTTTATGAACTGAACCAGTCGAACCTATTTTAATTTCAGAATATATTCTACTACTTCCTATCCTGATTCAAAGTACTTAGGAAATTTATACAATGGGAATACTCTAGAAACAGGAAGAAATCTACCAAACATTGTAAATCAGAAGTATTATAACAGATTGAGATAGGCTTTTAGCAGAAAATTAAGGACTTTACTTTTCAAATCATTTAGGCAGGAAGATATTTAGCCCAAGTAAACCATTTAGATTTAAACAGCCTCAAACTGCCTTTAATTAAATTCTTTGCTAAATACAAGAGTATAATGAACAAAACAATGGCCAATAATATGATTAGGAATATATTTTAATGGAGAAGATTTGTAAATGAAATATTACCTGCCTTACAACCCCCAAAGTGAGTATAGAACCACTTTTGAATTTTTTAAAAACAATTTTTGTAGTTGTAGATGGACAAAATGCTTTTATTTTATTTTGTTTTATTTTTATGTGGCACTGAGGATCGAACCCAGTGCCTCATGCATGCTAGGCAAGTGCTCTACCACTGAGCCACCCACTAGAACCACTTTTTAAAAATATTTTTTAGTTTTCGGTGGCATCTTTATTTTTATGTGGTGCTGAGGATCGAACCCAGCGCCCCACATATGCCAGGCGAGTGCGCTACCACTTGAGCCACATCCCCAGCCCCCTAGAACCACTTTTAAAATATCTGGCTTTTAAGACAAGCCTCTAGAACAGTCTATCACCATAGCTCCGTGTGTGATCTGTATTTTCAGTCCTGATGTTCCTACTTTTGGAGCTTTCATTTTTTCCTCCAAAATGAGCTTGATATCCTTTTTGTTCTCAGATTCAGCTGCCTTTTCCAAGATGACAGCCAAGCCTTTCTTTCAAGACTGCTATTTTGAGATCCTTTACAATTACACTTCTTAGTCATATGTATTTTTCTAGCATAATGCTAGTTATGTGAGATGTATGTATTATATGTGATGTTACATTATATACATATGTTATGTGAGATGTAATAGATGTGGTACCTGACTTCTTTTTTAATTGTTCTGAATTAATGAGAAGTTGGGTTACAAGATTTCTTTTAGTAGGTGAATTTTTGTTAATAGCACAATCTTCCTGTCTTCCTCCTTGTATGCCATACCTTGTACTCTCACAGTTCTCTATATTGGTAGTTGAAGATATAACTTTTAATTGCAGAATTCCCCCCAAATCAATTTTCCCATTTTTATGTACCTATTTTTTCCCATTTCCCATTGTTTATGTACCTATCAATTAATTTAAAATGCTAAGAAAAAGTTGGTAAAAACAAACAAAAAATTACATTTCTTCAGTTCTGCTTATCAGCATTGATGACAAAAGTAATTTGAGTTTTTGAGAGTTTTAGATTTTCTTTTGTTTTTGTTTCAGCTAGACAATAGTAGCTTTAAGGTCAAAGTTCTAAAAACATTATTTAATATGTGGGGTATTTCTAAGCTGTTTATTAATAAGCTCCAAATAATATTTAATTAATAAATTGCTAATTATATTCTTTTAAGCTATATAATTATAATATAATGAGCTATGTGATAATAGAATTACAAAGGGCCCTATTTTAATAAACTCGAAAGGATGTTAGAATTGCTTTAAATTATGGGAAGAGTATTGGTTGCTTGATTTCCAAAGCACTTTGTCAACATTAGAACAGTCATTTATTTTTTGCTTGTAACTATATGTGAATGCATTATTAATATACATTTGTTATGTGTTTTAGATGTAGAAGTAATTAGAGGTTTGGGCTTGGTTTGGGCTCCAACCCACCATAATGGCATTTTGAAAGCAGGTCAAATTGGTTTATATATATTATACATATCAAATAGAAAGCATATTACATATATAACTATATATACATATACTATATATTACATAATAAGTATCTGTATATTACTAGTATATGTATATAATGTAACATCATGTGGGTATATATATGATAATATATCAATATGTATATTAATTATATATATGATAATATATCAATATGTAATATATATATGTATATATGTTATGTATATATATATATATATATATATATATATATATATATATATGATAATCTTAGACTTATCTGCATCCAAGAGTTACTATCAACTTAGGTGGGATATTTTTAATGAAGTTATTTCTCTTGGTGGAATTAATGAGAAATAGTTTCATTAACACTATATATACATATATGAGTGATATAAGCATATATGTAATATATAAACATGTATATATTCCACCAAAAGAGAAATAGCTTCATCAACATCATAAATAAATAGCAACTCCTGAATATAGATAATCTTCAGAAATCTTTTCAAAATAGAATTCACTGTAGGAATATCCAAAAATCAGATGTTGTACCTTAGCATATCTTATAACTTGCTGTAAGAGAACCAGAACATAGATTTTCCTTTTCTAAAATCTAATTAAAATATAGTCTCTGTTTTATTCAGCTTTTCATTGCTGTGACCAAAAATATCCTACAAGAACCACCTAGACGAGGAATAATTTATTTTATTTAATATTTTTTTAGTTGTATATAGACACAGTACCTTTATTTTATTTATTTATTTTTATGTGGTGCTGAGAATTAAACCCAGTGCCTCACACACGGTAGACAAGGACTCTACCACAGAGCCACAACCCCAGCCCAGGAAAAATTTATTTTGAGCTCATGGTTTCAGAGGTTCAGTCTTTGGTTGATCCTCCATTGCTCTGGGCCCCAGGTGAGGTAGCACACCATGAAGGAAGGGCCCAGCAGAGGAAAGCTGCTCAGATCCCAGCTGAGTTAGGAAGCAAAGAGAGTCACAAGGGGCCACAGGGAAGATGCATGTTTCCAGGGCATGTCCCCAGTGACCCACCTCCTCCACGCCACACTTCCTCGTGGGTACAGGTACCACACAGTCCATTCAAACTAGGATGGACTGATTAGGTTACTGATCTCACAATCCAATCATTTCACACCTCCAGACATTCCTAAATTAACACAAGAGCTTTTGGGGGACACCTCATATCCAAGCCTTAGCAGTCAGTATAAATAGGGAATAAAACCCTATTTTATTTGAAAACAAAAATAACATAAACAGTGACAAAGTAGGGAAAATGGATAATGTCCCTCTAATGAAAAATTACCTCTACAGGGAAAGAAATGCATGGTGAGGGAGGAAAAATCCTTTCCTTGAAAAGCAAAGAAATTACTGTCATTAGTTTACTGTATTACACAGTACACCCACAGAGAATCTTTAACCACATTTCAGTGAAGCCCCTGTCTAATGGTTATGCTTCCTCAACTCTTGGGCGTTGTTTTTTAATAAGCTTCTTCTTTAAAGAGTTATTAAATATTCTAGGGGTTAGAGATATAGCTTGGAAGTCCTAGGTTCAATACCCAACACCAAAATAAAAAGTACTATACATTCTAAATATATAATCTCTTTAAACTTTATTTTAATAATGTTATTGTATTTAAAGTTTTTTTTAGTTGTTGATATTTATTTATTTATGTATTTATATGCAGTGCTGAGACTCAAACCCAGTGCCTCACACATGCCAGGCGAGTGCGCTACCACTGAGCCATAGCCTCAGCCCATTATTGTATTTTTATGCCTTTATTTAATTAATTTATTTTTATGTAGTGCTTAGGATCGAGCCCAGTGCCTCACACATGCTAGGCAAGTGCTCTACCACTGAGCTACAACCCCAGTACCCCGCCCCTTTTTTTTTACTTTTTTAGAAAATATTTTTTTCGTTGTCAATGGACCTTTACTTATTTATATGTGGTGCTGAGAATCGAATCCAGTGCCTCACACATGCTAGGCAAGTGCTCTGCCACTGTGTAACAACCCCAGCCCTAAATATATAATATTTAAATTTTAAAAATGGGTATATATAAGGAATGTTCTTTAAAAAAGGGATTCCAATAGATGTCAGATTAGAAAATACCAAAATAGTTGTTCTTGGGTAATTTTAAAATGTAGATTAATATATTACAGGTACATTTCCTTACACATCAACATCTATTTAAAAAATGAAACAGAATCAATGTTTTAGCAAAGAAGGGATTTGGAATTCATTTTTAATAGACTAATATAACTCTTCTCTGACAGCCAAAGGATGTATAATTTGAACTTTGAGTGCATATGCTCATTTAGTATCTTTGGGGGAGAAAACCCCAAAACTCATCAGCCTCCCAAAAAGTTCTCCATAGGCTCTCTTTGGCTTTGCCAAAGAGGCTAATGTTGGTCTATATGTACTATGTTCTTGGCTACTTGTGGCATGGTCTCTGTATTGTTTGTTATCTGTCATAAGCCTTTGATATTGATTATATTTTTGATTTAAAGTAATAACTCTTTGCTAGCTTTTATGAATATGCTATTTTTATAACTTATTTTGTTTTGCTATCATGTGATTCTTAACATAAATATTGTAATTATGTGTCTCTCTTTTGGTTTGCTTGACTGGAATTCCCTTCTACTTGGATGACCACAGGTGACCCTAGTATCTTCTGTAGTCTGCCCTTGGGCATTTTTATAGTGAGTAGCATGGTAATGTTAATCGGAGCAAGGTACATCTCAGGTTAGTTACTCTTTAAATTAGACAAT